ATTTGTCGCATCTTGTCCTCGCTGGAAAGTAACCAAGAGACAAACAGAACCAATCAGTTTTGGTATATAACCATATAATTAGTTAATTGCACTTAATTACTCAATCTGGCTCTATTTGATGCCACCAAACTTAAAGCTGATGATCTCGATCAGATCAACTTCCAAACATTATTTTATATTGAGTCAGCCAAGTATATCGGAAATCAAGACAAAAAATATGGTCAATTGAAAGACTAACAATGTCTAAATACGGGTGATATAGAAGACAAGGTGACCACTAAGGATTTGGGTATGAAGTTATGGCGAAATGTTTTAAGTGAAAATGAACTCCTGGAAATGGCGTCACCGATAATCTCGTTAATACAAAAAATGGTGAAATGGATGTACGCTTTCGTAGAAATGCGTGCTAGTTTGTTTATTTAGTTATTAATGATTATAAATATTTACCGATAAGAAGGCATATTGCCAAATTTGATTATGCGATCGGCTGCATTTGCTCCAGACTGATTTCTGTCGTTCGAGATACCGAAGCCTTCTTCATCAGATGCCTCCTCTTCAAGCCTCTTCTTGTCTGATGTGTCCTCTCTATCGCTTAAATGTCGATGCGAAGACAAATCATTCAAAGGCCAATCTGGACACCACCTTTCTTTTCTACTTTTTTTCTTCTTCTTTTTAGCCGTTTTATTCATCTTTTGTCTATCATAATGGTCTCGCTTTGCACCACTCTTCGCTGGGCCCCTCTCCTTCATGTTGCGTTGTCGGTCAGCCGAATTGCCGTTTACCGAGCCACTCCAGCGACCCTCGCTTACTGTGTCCTCATCGTCTGCCCGGTTTGTTGTGCTTCGTTCCTCCTCTTCTTCTTCCTCTTCTTCACCAACCTCATCGTCTTCATCGTCTTCGTTTGACAGACCAACTGATCCGTCTAAAGAATTCCCTTTATAGTCATAGTCATTGTCGTGACCATCGTCGTGAGCATAAACCTGTTTTTTGTGATGCCTTCTCTTGGACCAAGAAGCCTTACGGCCAGGACGATCAGAAGAGTCGAAGGAGTGGCGTCGACGGCCTAAAAGTGTAAAGCATAAGCAGGAAGAAAGGAGGAAAATGAGGCTGAAAATCACTTTCAAAGTCTAAAAATCGCAAAATAATCTGTACCAGTTGTAAATGTTGTTTTTAGTGAAATGAGTATATATTTTCAGATATTACTATAAAGGTTAAATGTCTACTAGACTCACTGGCTGCACGAGGTGTTCGTCCCGGTCTGCCTAACTCTTCATCGTCATCCACAATTGCTTCATTTCGATTCGCTTTAGGAGCACCCTGTGGCCGAAGCCCATGTGCTAGGGCATCCTTCCGGTCCTGGTGTTCATTGAATCGAGAAAAAGAACGGCGTAGCACAAGGCAACAGGGTGGCCGGCGTGAATGGCATGATTTCACCGAGTGCGAATTGTGTTTGCATAGACCCGAAACCAGGTTACGGCTTCTGAAAAGTAAGCAAATTTGTAAGGTTATTTTACAAACCCTGCGCCAGTCAGGTTGAAAGCAAGAGTTGAATAGCATAGTTAAATTGAAACCACCTACCTGAGGTGGAGAATAAACAAAGTGAGAAGAAGAAATACACTCCCAACCACGGCAGCAAGAATGGAGATTAACTGCAAAGTGTTTACTGAGCCATGCAAATCTAAATGATAGATTGAAAAAAATATGATTTTAGTTGTAATAATCAAGTCTAAATACTGGAGACATAAAATGGAAACTGACCTGCTGACAATGCAACCCCTTTTGACTGTTGTTGCATCATGGAGTCACGATAGCGCCAAATCCAACCAGCCGTCTCCATAGCCAGATGTCGCTGTGACGATACAGGATCATTGGAGGTGAAAGGTCCAGCAGCACTTAAGGCAAAAACAGTTTCGGAAGAAGTAGCAAGAGAAGACGACGGGTTGCCAGAGATTTGGCAAGCCGTTCCAGACCAGCCGGGCCGACAAAGACAAAAGCCAGCATTGGTACACAACTGACCAAGGGTTTAACAAAAGGAAGAAAAATGTGTGCATAATTGAGAGAAATTGCACTAGCGGAGATGTGAGCAAACGAAAACTATAGTTTGTGTATGA